TACGTAACAATAACATTGTGTCTCTCAAGAACGTTATTTCTAATTGTTGGCTATAATTATGATAGCTTTCATGGAATTGAAAACAAAGAAAAACATACAAGAAACAGAGGAGAGATATATAAAAAACAAGATTAAGGAACAATGAAAGATATGATTTGTCGCGATATTTACATAACATTTTAATTCGTCAGGATTTAAGTTTGAATTAAAGGGATGCAGTGATTAGAAAATATTTAATACAATTATGTTGCTAATGAATCGGTACATTACGCAATTGTCGTATGTAAGAAAATAATTCCTTTTTTTACGAGAAAAACGGTCGCGATGCAGGGCGGTTCTGAGGTTTTTCAATGACCGTGGATAAAGGCTAATAAACTTGCTGATACTGTTCCGATAAAATGGACGCGCCATAGGCAAGAAAGAAAACGATAAATATTAAACGTCTCACTAGACTTCTATATTGCACTAGAACTTCTTCTCCACTACCTAGTAAAATGGCAAATAGAGGCTATTACTCTCCTATAAAATACTTATCCTCTTACATATGTACAATTTAAAAATTGCTACCATTTTTTCACTTTTACCTTTAGCTATTACTAATATTTTCGTTTGTCTGAATGTATTTCATCCTCTTTACTTAAAATATTTTTCTAATGTTGGATACACACGATCACGCGTTTGATAAATTTTCTTGCAATTTTTGTACTAGATTTGTAAGATTAAAATTAATCGAAAGCAACTGATAAGTTAAGATCATTGAAAAGTATATCCAATTATGAGATAACTTTGTAATTAGGTCTCTATATCGTTGATTCTGTATTTGTTAAGAAATTTAAAATAATTAAAACAGATTAAAAAAATTAAAATTATTAAGCATAATAATTAATTTTATTGAGTGAATTGATATATAGGATTTGCTGGAACACATATTTCATTATATAATTACATATCGTATATTTTTATAGAATAAAATGAAAGAAATTTTGAACTAATTAATATTACAGAATTCAATGATAATATGCTTCAACTTGAAATGAAACCAAATTGAAATCAAACGAGGAGCCGACATTTTGGATCTCATGTCACTTACTCAGTCCTATTCTATCTATCAAGGTTCTAAAGACAACTTTTTGATTGGTTAACCCTTCTCGACCTGCCAATGTAGAGAATGGATTTCCAATGTTAGCCTAAATCGAGCAAACTCTCTTCATTTTAATTACAGAATTACGACTTTAATTTGAGTAATTTTCTATTTATAAATAATTGATTTTATAAAATTCTAATATTATATTAAGTATCGGTCCTCATTCGAGATTGTCTTGTCTTTATTTATTAAAATTTTTATATTATTTTTTTTTCAATAAGTGTAACACAGTTTTTAAGATTTTTAATAAATTACGTTTTGAACTTGCAAGATATGAAAACTTTTTCAATTTTATTTGGGCAAAGCTAATATTTTAATTAAATAATATATCGAAATGAATTTTTAGTTACATGCAAAGTGAATCATTAAGGCGTATATCCAACTTTAGAAAATATAGCGCAGAAAATTTTAACAATCGCGACTTGCAGCACGACTGTTTCGACCGTATTCGACGAAACTGATCGTGCTTTCTTGTTCGCTATTGCGCCTTACCTTTCGTTAAGAGGATGTCGCTCTCATACTCGAGAATTTCGTTGTCGTCACAGATTCTTTATGTCGGCGAACAGAAAGAGATATATACGTAGATGTAGACAGTTAGAGCCATCGATTTCGGATTATCCATGCATCCGATATTAACCATACTTTATATCGGGAAACAAAACCGGAAAACTAAACTCTCTTTCTGGCGCACACTGGTTGGTTCGCGCAAAAGTGGAGACCAGAGCGTAAGCGCTGATCGCATCCTTGATATCGGATCAATAAGGAGATTATTATTAATCGTCGAGTCTGAAAGCAGAATATGCACCGAGACTTAAAACAATCCCCTCGTTGTGTCGTTCGTTCTGTTTCTCTCTTTCTCTTTTTCCTTTCTTCTCTTCCCCGTTTTACGAAAATAGTCAGCGCATGGCGCATGGCGGATGCGCGGACGATCATAAAAAATACGAACAGAGTATAATTAATTCGTTTACTACGTACTACAGTATTGCTTTAATATGATATGGTACAGTCTTTTCACTGATTGTCCAATATCACTACGTAAAACATTTTTCTTAGCTCTGTTAGTTTGTTCCTCTCTCTCTCTTTCTCTCTCTCTCTCTCTCTCTCTCTCTCTCTCTCTCTCTCTCTCTCTTCCCCTCCCCCTCCCTTCTCCCTCTGCCTCTTTCTTTCTCTCCTTCCCTTTTCTTTCCCTTTCTTTTATTATTTTACTCTCTCTCTCTCTCTCTCTCTCTCTCTCTCTCTCTCTCATTTATTCTTTTCTTTATCTTTTTCTAAATTTCAACTCCTTGATTCTGCCTTACATACGCAACATACATTCACTCGTTCACATGCACACTATCGTTCTCTTCACTGTTTACACTGCACTGAGCGTCTTCATTAGGATTAATATCACTTTTTCTTCGGCGCGACGTATCCGCGCGTCGTCTTTATAACAAATACGTACTTTATATTTTATGTTTCGAGTTGTACTTTTCAAGACGCGTTGGTAATCTTTGCTCTTCGCCGTTCATTTGTCATGACAAGCTTGTCCGTGAAAAACGAACGACGAAAAGACTCTCTCTCTCTCTTCCTTTTTCTCGCTTTTCAAATTTCCCGTCGGGATCATCCTCCGACAATCGATTGTGCCTTCAATGATTATTGCTCAGTAAATTATTGCAATGGCGACCTAGTGATTTACGATTGTTTCCGATGTGTTTTTTTGCGATATAAATATTGTCGATTTGTGACTATGTAAAATATTACAAGCTCAAAAATGAAAAATTATTAAGATCGTAATTGCATTAAGGATATAATTTATTGATGATCCATTCGAATCAACAGACAATATAATGATGTCGAAAATTTTAAATATCAGTTGTATTAGAGATCAATTGTATTAGAGAAACTTACACAAATATTTAGTTTAGTTTGTCTATTTTATAAATTTTTTATGATAGAAATTATAAGAATTGAAAGAATTATGTTGGAAAGTTTTTCTTTAACATTGAGATATTCTTTGTGTATTATTTCGATTGTTTGATAAATAATTTCTGTTGCAATGTGATTTTATAAAATATGATAATATATACTTAAAGATCTTACGACCTCTTAATTTGTATGATTATAATTATGTATTTATAAAAAGTGATATTATAAACAAAATCTAATATTATAAACGAATCTTAATAAAAATTCGTTAAACTTTTTTACTTCTTAACAAAAAAAAATAAAATACTTCTTATTGTACATTTATTTTACATGGATTATAGGATTTCATATATTGGTTTTCAAGAAATATGATAGTGAAATCGGTGCCGAACAGCGATTTCAACCGCAAATGCCATACGACGAGGGGTCGAAGGGCAAATAGCATCGTAAACTGTTTTATCGCTATCGTTGGTAGTGTATTTCTTGATCTTGTAGTTCTTCAGATTGCAAGCTTGAAGGCTCTTTATTTCCGATGATCAGAAGAAAATATTAGTTGAAGCATTAATAATAGAAATATTTGAATTGAATTTTTGTCTAATTATTCTCATAAAATCACAATACAAATCTACATTTTCTCTTTCTTTTTCTGCTTCGAATAATTCAAGATATTGTAATATTGAATGACTTTCTAACAAATCTTTATTTTTACATATTTTTTGAACTTAATATATAAGTTTTCTCTTGATGAAAAAAGAATTATCCATAAAATAAAATATCATATTAAGCTATAAAAGTTAATAATTGATTGCAAGAAAAAATTATACTTAAAATTTGCCCGCTAAATTAAAAAATATTGCACAGCGTATATTTTAGTTAAAAGAAAACTTTAACATGTATTGTGGGTTATGAGCAATATATAGTCTTAAAAAAAGATAACAAATATATCTTGTTCAGATGAAACGCACGAATCGGACGATATTTACGTAGTCCTATAATATTATTATCCAATACAAATCCATCGCTACAATGCTTACTGCTAATGTAAATGAAAATACGAAGAAAGCGTTTATATCCCCCTAGTGCAGAATTTTCCATTTTCCAAAAAGCATACCGTTGAAAGCGTTATGCATTATTGCAGCGATCAGTGTTTTTTCTCGGCATTATCTGCATATCACTCGCATTCGTTTTTTCGAGCGAAATAAAGAGGCGCAATGTGCGTTTGAATTTGCTTATTTATTTCAACATTAGGATATAAGACATATCTTTAATATTTTCATTAAAGCAAAGTCAATTAGAGATTTGTTAATTAATAGATATAACAATAAAAAAAGAAATGAGTCACTGTATATTAGAAATCATAGTATTGCAACAACTTCCATTGTGGATGAAAATGCGGCGATCAATTTGATGGACTGATTGCGATATAAATTTATATTTACTGTTATGATACCGCGATAATATCCATCGTGAGACATTCGTAAACGCGTCACCAGCGTTTTCATTGCATCGATTGTATAACGTCACGAGAGATAATCGTGTTAGCTGAAGAGGAGAGAGAATCGCGAACCGAAACGGGTCAAGAATAGCTCCCTGCAACCGGTGATTCCAGAATATGCGTTTTAAAGCATATTACACACGCGCAGTGATAACAAGCGACTCTTCAGCCTGTGACAGCTTCGTGTACCGATAGTATCGTCTGCCCGTAGTATCGAGCCATTCGTTTTAGTAACCGCGAAAGACTGCCGCAGATAGATATCCCGATGACTTTGATCCGACGACAATGATTTGGAATCTCCTCATCGATGATGACTACCGGCGGAGTCGGAGAAAGCCCGCCTTGACAGTTTTGGGCACTTCACGGCCAACCCTGAAACTCAGTCAGAGGTTCAGGTTTGGGCTCGAGACTAGGCAGCTGGTACGGTCAGTTTTGCTGTCACAAGCCACCCTCGGGTCAATGTTGAGCCGCGAACTTCATGCGTTTCTGCTTCTGCCGCTGATTGCAGAACCAGACTCGTACGACGTTCTTCTTCAAGTCGAGCTTTTCCGCGATCGCCGCGATCTTCTCACCGGACGGCCGCGGCTGTACCGCGAAATACGCCTCTAACGAGCGTTTCTCTGGCGCAGCGATGCTTGTACGCTTCCGTTTCTTTTCACCGGCTGGTAATACCGAAGGTGCGTCCGGGTCGCGTCGCTTATTCTTCGCCTGGGCCTCCGCCTCCTCCAGCCACGCCTGGAGGATCGGCTTCAGGGCGATCATGTTGTTGTGCGAGAGTGTGAGCGATTCGAAGCGACAGATCGTCGACTGCGAGAGAGCGCCAACACCCGGTAGCTTGAGATTGGCTAGCGCTTTGCCGACATCGGCTTGCGTAACGCCGAGTTTGATGCGCCGTTGTTTGAATCGCTCGGCGAAGGCCTCCAACTCGCGCGGATCGGTATCTGCGTCAGGATGTAGACCCGCCGCGGCTGCAGCCGCGGCCGCTGCAGCCATCGCCGGATGATGATGCGCCGGATGCGGCACGCTGCCGCCACCGCCGCCTAGGTTACTGTGATGATGATGATGACTCATCATACCGTTCATGCCGCCGTATACGGAGGGACCGTGGATGCCCGCGTGATGCCCCGGTCCACCGCCCGTGCTTTCGGACATTGGTGTCAGTGTTGTCATCGAATTTGCTGGATCCAGCATGTCGAGACTCTCCATTCCTGGATGGCTCATCTGGAACATGCAAATTAAGAGTCTTTAATTCGAATACGTGTTTATTTTGTTAAGAACATTCTTTTACGTTCGACGTTACCGAAATGTTTTTGGAGTATCTGTTGAAAGTTTTAGTTAGTTGACAACGTTAGTTAGTCGTACGAAATATATTGATGGTGACATCCTTTGATGAGATGATACAAAAGCTCGCATTCTGTCATGACAATCTTGTTCGTTTCAATCTTGTAGTAATTATATGTGTATAAGAATAGAATAAGATCTATATTAAAGAACCTTTTATTATTTGGTATTTACTATTTTGTTTTTCCATTTTGTCTTTTAGAAAACCTATGTTCATGTGATCGGTCTTAATTTTTTAAATTCTTCATATACAACGAGATTTTGTAACATACTTAAATATTTCAAAAGAGAGAGAGAGAGAGAGAGACTTCTCTTTTCTCTTTTATCAATATTCTTGGTTTATTCTTTAATATGTGTAATAATTACTAAATTGATAATTAACAATACACATCAATAAAAGAAAACATGTTTGTTAATCTGATCAACTTCAGCACAGTAGGATGCAACTTATATTAAAAATTAATTGCTATTTTTTTTTGTTAATTGCTCTTGATTTTTTCAGCGGATCTCGCTCTTTCTCTTTCTAAATCAGTATTATTTTTTGTAACTCGGTTGAAGCAACAAATTCGGTAATAGAATAATTAATTAACAATTAAATAGCACTATAAAAAGACGTATTTGTTTTTAATTTTTTACTATTTCTTATAGCTGTACTTTAATCTTAAGTTAGCACAACCATTATTTTCCAAATCCATTGGTCAAAAAATCGAAATTAAGAACAATTAATTAGAAAAAAAGAATAGCGGTTGGTTTTTATATGTGTGTAAGTCATATTTGATTATGTCAGAATTTATAGACCTAAAGAAAACTTATAATTAATTTAAGATAATCGTTCATAATGAACGTTTTCTAGCAAGAAACATAGTGTAAGAATTGTGAATTATTTCATCACTTAACATTAAAAAACAAGAATAAAATGATTTACTATGTATTACAGTGTTTTTTTTTCAGAGAAAAGTCCAATACCAATTAAGAATTAATAATATCTAAATTAAACACATATTGTGGAACAGAGATTAAAAACAATTCATTAAAACCATTTATTAAAAAAAAAAAATAAAATTAGTAGTAATAGCACTTTCTAATTATTAAAAAGTGATATTAATAATTAAATGTGTTAACATAAAGATATCTTGTATTGGAAAAATTCGAGATATTCGCTTCACGTATGCGTATTATTCAAGAAAATGTGTAATATAAAGTGAAATGTATAAATTCGGAGGTGTTTGAAAGGTCTGCTGAAAGGCCGGATGCGTATCGTATCGTCGAGTTTGCGGAAATGCGTTTTGATGAAGCACCATCGTGGTGTGGGAGAGATATGAATGAAGGGGATAAAAAGCAAAGTTAGGTCGAGTATGGTAGAGAGAGTAGGAAATATGTACAAGCTAACATATATAATTATGCTACACGTGCCGCGACCGTCGTCACGAATGCAAAACGCACCTCCAGCATAACTCTTTACAAATTATTTATGAACTTCTTTCATATTTTTCTTCTCTTACACTCTGCTGTTACATATAGCACGTGTTGTGGCATGCTGTTAACTCGTTTTCTTAAAGTCAATATCGGATATTCATCTGTTGAAACGAAACAGAAAACGCATTGCCACGAGTCAAATGCGATAAATCGCAAATTAAGGACGAATAAATGAGAAAGCTATTTTTTGAAATGGTGTTTTGTTTATTTGAAAAAAGTACAAAGAAAGTATCTTCTAATTTTTTGTTTCTTCCCTTTGAATTTGGCCTGTTTTTTTTTTTTTATAGAGATATACACAGTAAGCGTATATTTTCAATATACGCTTACTGTGATTTTTATTCAAGTCGATTGATTTTTTTTCAATTAACTTATTTTAATTGTTAATCTACTTTAGTACATAATTTATTTATTGCGTACTTAAGTATGTAAGGTACCACGCACACGCGTATGATCTTGTTTACACACATGAAATTGTCTAGTCTCACGAGAGTATACTGAATTAACTAGACGCCAACACAGCAACGGTTTTGACCATGGGGACAGAACATGTAATTAGAATTAGTTCACACGTATATTTCAGAAATAAAATTGTTCTTCATGCACGTACAATAAACTTATTAGACAACAATTTACATCGCAAGTGATAGTGATTGTCGATGTAGCATATATGTGCGAAATTGTTTAAGGATTTTATTGTAAAATAGCTTTTTATTTTCGTAAATGGAAAGATATATTATATATGTATCAAAATCTATTTGTGTCAAATGCATAATGAGATGCGAATGAATTAGTTGTTGAACCCCCCCCCCTTAATTATGAGACATGTCTACATTTTAATTAGCTAATTTCTTTCGTATTATATATTCTTCTAATAAATTATTCTTAGCTTTGTACGTGTAAAACTGTATCGTGTTTGAGTAGCACGTAACACTAAATATAGCGCCAAAATCACTATAAAAATCGCTACTAAAAATATCCACGTCGTTCTCAATCCGGCCATTACCTCACGTACATACATAAACGCTTATACGACCTCGTCGAGGCTTATACACACATACACGTACACGCGTAGGCAACACGCGCATCATCTATTCTCATGAGAACGGCAGTATAGTGAGCTAACTGGATGGCACGGTTTCGGTCGGCGGTGGTGCCCTGGGATAGCGCAGTTACATCAGAAATGCAGGGGGGTTGCGCTGCATGGACGTTGGCGGGCAGCGTGGAAAAGGCAGAAGGTGGAAGCTGTCTGGAGCCGGTAGCAAATATACAAGCATACGGGGGGGGGGAGGGGTCAGGGGGCGAGGGAGGAGAGGGGATTTCGTTGGGGGGTTGTCGGGGGTGGACTTGCCCAGGGGCGTACGAGGTAGGGCCCGAGAGACCTGCGCAATATTTCATCATTACGCTGACACGATGGTAGGGTTAGCCGGCTCCTATGTTTTGCTCTTTCTCCTTGCTCTATTGCCCACCTCACCCCTAATTTTTCTTTCTTCCCTCCTTGTTCACCCCGTTGTATTCTCTTTCGATCCGCGCGCACATTCGGATCTCATGCGTTACGCATGTCGACTTGCTGTTTTTACATCGGTTCGACGTTTGTTTTTGCCTTTTTGCTTTCTTGCCTACTATACACGTATTTAAAATCTTTTTATTACTCATCAATTACTTTTATATATGTATCTTATGTAGGTACGCGTGTTCTTTTTTTTTCAATACGGTCAAAATACGGCGCATTTATTAAAACTCAATGCTTTCAAGCATAGTTGAATATCATATGAAGCTGAAATTGAATAGTTATAGGATTTGATTTATTCCATCGTTGAAATTAAAAATCATTTATATATTTTTTCGCTTGCATCGTTTTCAGTTCAAAAATCTATAAGAGATTAATCCGGTAATCAAAGTAATAGACAAAAAATTTTTTGTAAACTATAGTATCATTAAGATTGACCGAAAATAGAATTTTATTTCTCTTAATTGCTTTATTCCCGTCGGTATATATAATTTGGAATTGTAATTGTTTGTACATATCTTTTTGAAAAACGACGAAAAACGAATCTCTCATTAGTTACTTGTGAGAGGTTATTGTGACGAATATTATCTTAGTGATTAAATTGAGAGGAATTCCTTGCACGGAATTCGAGATTTGAATTCGAATCCCGACTGAGGTAATATTTTTCGCAACAAATTATTTTAAGATATTTATTAGCATCAAATTGTTAATATCCTTTTAAGATATCTATCAGCATCAATATCAATATCATTAAATTGCTTGTCAATTTAATATATGATTACTATCTTAGTTCTGTTGCAAATTTCAAGACGGTAAAATATTTTGGCGCGTTTGCAAAATTGAATATGTATAGGCATATAAATGTCGCACCGCGACATATTTAAATACCAAAATCCCCTTTTTGATCGAAAATAGGATTATTTATCCTAATTGATTATTAAGATACTTTAATAAATGCCAAAATTATTATCAAAAAATCAAGTCAGAAAATTGAATTTATGAAGCGGAATTGGTAGTAGAAAAATGGCGCAATAGAAATAATGATCAATTTAAAGTACAAAGTTGTACATAATTTAGATCTAACAAGTGGAGTCGAGGAAAAGGAGAGAAAGCGATTTATGACGATAAAATCACGTACGCAAATCCCACAGAAAGCCGACACGCGAGAAGTTGAACAAAACTCATATTGAACCCTCGCCGCAGACGCAGGTCCCGTGGACCCTTAGAATTCATTGCTCTCTATCTGGGGTTAAAGGGGGGAGGAGAGAAAGCATTACAAGCAGTCGTGACACGGAGATAATATACAAGCAACACGCCCCTACATTTAAGAACATCATTCCGGATCGATGCGCATTGGTTACCCGGCGTCGTTCTGCCATTGTGCTTCTATCATCAGCATCAGATTGCTCAAATTAGCATAAGGTACACGAGGCAACAAATTGAAATGCAATTCGCACGAAATCATATATGTATTATTGTGACCGTATCTAAACGGCGTAATCACGGCGCTGCGACTGCACTGCTGTTACACGATTATGAACGACGGTTGTAAATATAATACGGCTTATTAACCATTAAAACGCAGAAAATTAAAATCGTTGTCTGCATTGTTCGCGATATTAACAAATAAACTGCGTAAATTAAATTTTTCAATCTGCCAATTAAATATGAATTCAAAATTAATTGCCGCGCGTAATTAATTATTAGCAACGATTTTAACCGACCGTTGGATTCGTTGCATTTTATGGATGTATCATCCCTCCCCCCCCCCCTCCAGCTTGTATACGAGGGTTTACGAAATGGCAATAGCAGCCTTCAGCTTTTATCACGATAATTATCTTGCACGAATAATGCTATTCTTTTTTTTTATTATCAACAATTAAATCTCAGTACATAGTTATGATATCTAATGCAAGAATAAAAATAGAAATGCAAAATGGATAAAGCATTTGATTTGATATTCGCAGCTAAATGTTGCGATATGCATATTCCATACAATATTTAAACAGCTTAGTTTGCGCGATTAATATTTTTCATTTTTTTCTTCACAAAAATATAAGATAGATTTTTTATTTTTAATAAAAAAGCTTTTTTTTCGATTTATAAAGAGAGAGTATCTATATAGTTTATTTATTGACACACCAATTAAACTTAAATAAGACAATACGTGTTCACTTTCTAACATTGTATTGTGGAATGTAATATGTACGATAGAATAAAATATATCAAAAATGCGGACTCACAAGGAGGTGTGATTGTACCTGATGATGTGGCCGGTTATTCGGGTGGGGGGTAGGCATATGTGCTCCGTGATGGTACACAGATACGGGATCGTGCTTCAGCGGCATCGGTGTCCCAGCGTTGTGCTTTCCCAAATCTGCTGCCAAAGCCTCCGCTCTTGAAAGTAAGCCATCTTGCAGACCACTATTCAAGCCACCGAATAAATCACCCTGAAACACAAAGTGTTACAATATGTTACTTATTGCATTAAAGCATCAAGTAATGTTTTGACAATCAGATAACTTGACGTACTTGTTACATTGTGATCTAATTGCAACTTATACTTTCTAATTTTTATACTTCATGTATTTACAGTTACATATCTTTTATAGTTTGAAGATTTTTTAAAAATAAATCATCGTGAAATACAAAATGTTACAATATGTTACTTATTGTATTAAAGCATTAAGTAATGTTTTGACAATCAGATAACTTGACATACTTGTTACATTGTGATCTAATTGCAACATTTTTTTTTTAATTTCAGCGTAATTAATACACATTAATTTTTTCACAATTTTAATTACTGATTGTTACTGCTATTTTTTTACTTAAGAGACCATCATCCAATATTATTAATAATACTTTTGACTTGTAAATAGAAGTTGGGATCATTAATTGAACAAGTATCTTAATGATAAATTAGGAGATCTTTTTCACTTTTCATTTGTCAAATTTTATTTGAATATTTATATATAAAATTCATATGTGCACATATATGCACATATTTTTTTTTGTTTGTTACTAATTTAGTATTTATTTATTCGCAGTTAATTACAAGCGTAAAGGAAAACAGATTAAATAATTTGCAAATGTAAATTGATTTACTTTATATGAGGATAATGCAAATAATGATTAGTTATAGTCTATTTATTATATAAATTCTTGTTGAATTTTATCCATTTGACGTTATCTGGGCAACAATGAGCTTGTATATTGGACGGCAACATGGCTGTGCGATCGATAGCCTAAAAATAGTTTTGTTATCCGAGATGTTCGCGTATTGTAAGTTTTTTTAGGCACAGACATAAATTTTCTATTATTTAAGCTGAATTTTTTTATTTTTCTAAAATATTCTATTATTTTATATAAATTTAATTTTATTTCGAAGTGGACAACTAAACAAAATTTTTTTTTGTTAATGGACATATCTATTAATTTTGATTTAAGCAAATATATGGATAGGTATATTGTAAATACTGCAAAAAGATATTTATTATCTAAAAACATTTTCTTATTCATTTCTTATTCCTTAGATTTTTAATTATAACTTAAGATAATTATAATTTGGGATAGCGCAATGGATACATGTATGTAAAATTTTGAAAAAATTATTTTAAACGATAGAAAACTAGTAGAAATTTCTAATGTAGGATGAATTGGATGATATTGCATTAAACTTTATATTGGAACGTTAAATTATTTTTTCTCGAAAGCAAGTTTATTTGAACAACAGTCATAATAACTTGTGAATGTAGACTTATAAAAGAATACAAGTTTTATCGAAACATCTCATCATTTGAATAATGAATATATTGTCATAAGAAAAAAATATCTCTGACGGTAAGGGAACGTTTCTGATTCGTGTTTATACCCTTCTAATGCTTAATATAAATAGAATAGTACTCCTACAATTTGGTTATCTATTATGAAATTATTCTATACATGACAAAAAAAAATAACAAGAAGTAC